ATAGTAGCATTATATAAATAAGGCATGAACCAACTACGAATGCAAGCTATGAAAAAATTGAAGATGTTTACCAATTTCTGTAGTCTGAAATTGATCAAACTTGCTATCAAATGCACTCATAACTACTGGTGATTGAAATGCAAAAGTTGAAAACAAAGAAGGATTTGTAATTGCAAAACATAGCCTCTTTGATAGAAACAACTCTTGACAGTGCATGACAGAATTCTGCAAGACCAATAACTAATTCATAACAAATATCCATTTTTCAACAACTTAAATGGTGACTATAGGAGCTCTGGTGGTGCAGTGCCTAAGACATTTGACTGCTAACCACAAGGCTGGCGGTTCAAACCCACCAGCCACTCCTCGGAAGGAAGGTTGGGCAATCTACTTCCGTAATGATACTGCCTCGGAAACCCAAGGAGGGGTTGCTATGAGTCAGGTCTGACTTGACGGCGCATAACAACAACAACAACACACATGTGGAGTGTTGTATGAAAGGAGAGAAGGTTAGCACTCCCCTTGACAAGGATGGAAGAGGCCCTTGGGCCTTACAACACGCATATGGTTAAGTCATTGCCACTTTGTGGCATCTAACCATGGTTTTATGGGAGCTCTGGTAGCATAGTGCTTAAGGCACTTGACTGCTAATCAGAATGCTGGCGGTTCAAACCCACCAGCCACTCCTCGGAAGGAAGGTTGGGCAATCTATTTCTGTAGTGATACCACCTCAGAAACCCAAGGAGGGGTCGTTATGAGTCAGGTCTGATTCGATGGCACATAACAGCAACATACATGTGGACCTTGCCAGATGGAATACACAGAAACCAAATCGGATACTTTTGTGGAAAGAGATAATGAAGAAGCTTAATATCATCAATTAGAAAGAGGTCAGAAGTCGACTGCAGAATAGACCATCAGTTGCTCATACACAAGTTCAAGTTGGAGCTGAAGAAAATTAAAACAAATTCATGAGAGCCAAAGTACAACCTAGAGTATATCCTACCTGAATTCAGAGACCCACCTCAAGAATTGATTTGACACATTGGATACTAATGACCAAAGACCAGACAAGTTGTGGAATGGCGTCAAGGACATTGTGCATAAAAAAGCAAAAGGTCATTAAAAAGGGAGAAAAGAAAAGAAAAAAAAAAGATGTCAGAAGAGACTCTGAAACTTGCTCTTGGATATAGAGTAGATAAAGCAATAGGAAGAAATGATAAAATAAAAGAATCAAACAGACAATTTCAAAGGGCAGCTTGAAAAGACAAAGCATTATAATGGAATGTGAAAAGATCTGGACTTAGAAAATCAAAAGGGAGAAACAGCCTTGGCATTTCCCTAGCTGAAAAATGGAAGAAAAAATTCAAGCCTTGAGCTACAATATTGAATGATTCTATGCAAAGAATATTGAATGATGCAGGACCCATCAAAAGAAGATGAATGAATACACAAAGTCATTGTACCAAAAAGAATTGGTTGACATTGAACTATTTCAGGAGGAAGCATATCATCAAGAAATGATTGTATTGAAAGAAAGAGTCTAAGCTGCATTGAAGGCACTGGTGAAAAACAAGGCTGCAGGAATTGAGAGAATACCAATTGAAACGTTTCAAAAAACAGATGCAACACTGGGAGCACTCACTCATCTGTGCCACAAAATTTGGAAGAAGCCACCTGGCCAACCAGTTGGTAAGAGATTTATATTTGGGCTCATTCCAAACAAAGGTGATCCAGGGAGTGTTTACACAGGGAAGTAGCTTGGGGGGGGGGGTTGGCAGGAGTGCATGGGAGGGAAGGACACAGAAAAGAGGTAACTACAGGAAGGAAGTGGGAAGAGAGCTGTTACATTGTGAGGAATTGCCGTCAATGTCATGAAATAAAATGTGTATGAACTGCTGTATGGAAAATGAATTTGCTCAGTCAATAAATCAAATTACATTAAAATTCACCCAAATCACAGTAAAAACTAAAAAAAAAAGGGATCCAAAAGAATGTGGAAATTATCAAACATATCATTAATATGTTAACATGCACGTAAAGTTTTGCTGAAGATAATTCAAAAATGGTTGTACCAGTGCATCAACAGGGAACTGCCAAAAATTCAAGCCAGGTTCAAAAGTAGACTTGGAATGAGGGATGTCATTGCTGATGTCAGATGGATCTTGGCTGAAAGCAGAGAATACCAGAAAGATGTTTACTTGTGTTTTATTGACTACGCAAAGGCATTAAACTGTGTGGATCATAAGAAATTATGAATAACATTGCAAAGAATGGGAATTCCAGAACTCTTAATTGTGCTCATGAGGAAACTGTACATAAACCAAGAGGAAGTTGTTGGAACAGAACAAGGTGATACTGCATGCTTTGAAATCAGGAAAGGTGTGCATCAGGGTTGTATCTTTTCACCATACTTATTTAATCTGTATGCTGAGCACATAATCTGAGAAACTGGAGTTTATGAAGAAGAATGTGGCATCAGGACTGAAGGAAGACTCACTCATTAACACCCTGTGGCATGCAGATGACACAACCTTTCTTTGTAAAGGTGAAGATGACTTGAAGCACTTATTGATAAAAATCAAATACTATAGCCTTCAGTATGGATTTCACCTTAACATAAAGAAAACAAAAATCTTCAGAAGTGGACCAATAAGCAACATCATGACAAATGGAGAAAAGGTTGAAGTTGTCATGTGTTCTGGTTACCTAATGCCACTCTGACAAGAATATACCACAAGTGGGATGGCTTGAACAAACAGTTTATTTTTTTCACAGTTTGGAGGCTTTAAGTCCGAGTTCAAAGTGTCAGGCTTTAGGGGCTGGGTGAAAGCCCCTCAACCTTGGGCTTCATCTCTGCCTCCTGCTCCAAGCCTACTGAAGCTAGAGGCTTTTCTTCACTCAGACAGCTGCTGGCTGCTGAGACTGACAAGCCCAAGGTTGACAAGTAAAAAGGCACTGTCTTGATGTTACCAAACCACATGGCAGGCCATTAATTCAAGTCCATTGAAAGTCCCAAAGTCAGCAGAGCATGGCAGGCTGCTGAACAATGACAAGGCTACATGCAGTACATTCAAGTGTACCATAAGCTAGAGACCATTCCCAAAGCTGCTGTTTATATATGGGAAGCAGACCACATCCCTAAAGCAGCTACTCAGCTGCTTGTGGTAGATCCCACCATGGAGCTGATTGCCAGTCTCATCATGGAGAATAACTACCACCAGCTGCCCAGGCACACAACCAGGCCCAACCAAGCTGACATACAACTTTACCACATCATGGATTTCATTTTACTTAGATCCACAATACACACCCCTGGAAGCAGCAGGCAATAAATCATATTACATATTGCATTGGACAAATATGCTGCAAAAAAAGCCTTTAAAGTGTTAAAAAGCAAAGATGTCACCTTGAGGACAAGTCATGCCTGATCCAAGCCATGGTATTTTCAATTACTTTATATGTATGTGAAAGCTAGACAATGAATAAGGAAGACCACAGAAGAATTGATGCATTTGAATTATGGTGTTGAAGAAGACCATTAATTATACCATGGACTGTCAGAATAATGAACAAATCTATCTAGGAAGAAGTACAGTCAGAACGTTCCTTAGAAGTGAGCATGATGAGACTTCGTCTCACATACTTTGTACATGTAATCAGGAGGTACTATTCCGTGGAGAAAGACATCACGCTTGGTAAAGCAGAGGGGCAGCGATGAAGATGTATTGACACAGTGGCTGCAACAATGCGCTCAAACATAAAAATGACGGTGTGGATGGCACAGTACTTTTGCTCTGTTGTACATAGGGTCACTATGAGTTGTAAATGACTCAATAGCAACTAACAATAGCATTGATGACTTATGGGAAATTGCAAATTACGTCTCATTTTATCATTCTTATTAATGTTTGAAAATTTATTAAAAATATGAAGCCAAGTATGTGTGTGTTTATATGTATCTGTGTACAAATACACAGATGAGTAACTATATGTTCTGATATGCTTGTTTTTTTCTTCAGTAGACTTCCATGATCCTATTATAACTGACTTGGGAAACCCATCTGTTGACATTAAGAAGATACTTTGTACATCCTCTGGAGGTTTTCCAGAGCCTCGTCTCTCCTGGCTAGAAAATGGAAAAGAATTAAATGCAATCAACCTTACAGTTTCCCAAGATTCTGAAACAGAACTCTACACTATTAGCAGTGAACTCCATTTCAATCTTACAAGAAACCATACATTTATTTGTCTTATCAAGTATGGAGACAAACAAGTATCACAGACCTTCTCCTGGATAATTCGTAAGTGACATTGTTTTGGGAGATTTCTACTGTATAGAATCTAAGAAGAAAATAACTCAGCCAGATACATTTTAGAATTGTGTGTTTTGGTATCATTTTTAGACCCATAAATAAAATTATAATAAAGTACTGTTGTGACTTATTAAGGTTCCTGTACAAAGGTGTGGCTATAATATTAATAAACTAATTTCATTAGACGCATGGTATAGGTATCAGACAGTGGGCAACACATTAGAGCTGACACTATACTTTTTCCCTCCACAGCTAAGCCTCTTCCTACTGATAATCAGTTCCCACTCTGGGCCATTATCCTCATCACAATAATTGGGATTTTTGGGATCATTGTATCAGTCATATGCTGCTGGAGCTGCAGTAAGTACCATTGCACTATCATCACAATATCAATTCCTGGAAGCCCAAATTCTATCACTATGATGCAGTATCTCTCTGAGGTTTTCACCTATTCTGTTCTCATATTTGAAGCAAGTCTATGGAAATTTTAATGTCTCCCTTTACTTGCCTCAGTTGTTGTTGTTGTTATGTGCCGTTAAGTTGGACCCAACTCAAAGCAACCTCTTCTTGGGTTTCCAAGGTGGTATCAGTATGGAAGTAGATTGCCCAACCTTCCTTCTGAGGAATGGCTGGTGGGTTTGAACCACCAGCCTTCTGGTTAGCAGTCAAGTGCCTTAGGCACTATGCTATCAGAGCTCCTACTTGTCTCAGTAGTTTCTTTTCATTCACTGAACATATATTTCTAGTACATCTGCTATGTGCCTGGCCCTCTTCTAGGCACTGGAGTCACAAAGATGGGAAATCAGTGCCTTCAAGACACATTCTAGTTTCATCCATTTATCTTCCCCTAGCTTCATGATATCTTTCTGGAGATGCTGAAGCTTCCTAACTGATTTGAAGACATTACTGATGCTAAGTAATATCATAACCTATAATTTGGAGTTGGAGGAAAGAGAGAAAGACACTATTTGGAGAGTAAGAATCATTTTCTTTGGGGAGTAAGATGCACTAATGAAGTTCACAAACTACATGGTCCCAATGATTTTACCAATTTTCATTTCTTCAGAACACATTTTTGAGTCTAAACTCTGAGACACTTGGTGTGTGTAAACACAGCAGCCTGAAAGCAGAGCTGATGTGAGTTAGAATCTATGTTGAATTTTAAAGCTGACTTTTCAAACAACAGTTTCTCTAACCTTTGTACTGACCTAAGCATATATCCTAAAGGATATATTCTTCTCTATGGTCAGGCAGATGCAGGATGTCACAGCTTGTTCCCAAGGGGTCTTTCCTCTATGGTCAAACAGATGCAGGATGGATTGCCTTTGCCCAAAGGATCTTGACTCACAGCATTATTGGTAAATTTTCTTTACAAGGGACCTTGGGAAAAGACATGCTTAAGAAAGCAATTTCCGTAACAAGTTCCCAGAAAAACATGTCCTGCCGTTGTCCTGTGAATATCCTATAATTAACTGAAAAGCACAAACACTTGCAATCATGTACCCTTAACCAATCATTTAATACCACATATAGTCTATCCACCAGTCTGCTAAGTCCATGCTTTCAGATATCTGGCCTTCTATTCCCCTAATTCTCTTTCAGCCAATCACAATTTTGTAGCTTTAGTTCCCGCTTCAACTCTGAAAGAATGTTTGCTTCTTTATTGTCCAGTGGAGCAGCCACCTTCACTCTGAATTTGGAGTTTTGCTGGTCTAGACCTCACTGGACTTTCAATATATCTCTTAACTTTACTTTTACAGAGTGTGTGTTTTCACTCTAGGCCATTTCAGTGGGTTAGTTGGCAGGATTCAAAGGCATCTCATCACTGACTGCATCAGAGAGTCACTGGACCCAGTGCTTAAAAAGTAGTGAGCAAAGAGCCCTTTGTGCTTCAGCCATCTCTCTGGCTCTCTGAGGCAGTTTGAGGTGAGTCCTATCAAATCCTCAGCCTCTATGCTGTTGCACTTGATGACCTTTCGAAGTTAAGATTTATTATAAAGTCCTTTTTCTTTTTGCTTTTACTTTTCAGACTGTCTGCTGGGCATCACTGTCAAGTCAAGTTAGACTTGACTGTATTGACATCTAGTAGCCAGTATGTGTCAGTAAAGTCGAACTTTTTGCTCTTTTCTGTCTCTATGGCACTAATTAAAGGAATGCACAGGTTGCTGTACATTAAGAAACTCGTGTTTTTGCTTGGTAAGATGGGGAATGTTATGTCTAATGATTAAGCTGGACCTCCCTCAAGTACTTCAGTGACTTATATATGTAAGCATTATAGTCTCGCTGCTGTTTCATACAGTGTAGAATGGCAGTAATTACCAACAAATCTTTAGAAACTCAAGGGCTATGTTGGGGCAGTTTTGACCTAGGTATACTCACCTTTTTGTGCTGAAAATTAGAAGCTAAGGACTCTCAGGTAAAGTAAGCCTAATTGAAGACATATTGTAATTGGTATTTTTAAGCTTCCAAAAGACATTAACAAAGTACACTAGCCTCCCTACAAGATACCGTACCTAAGCAAGCTGAAAAGTTCAAGGAATTGCAATGCCAGAACTCTGTAAACATCTCCAAAGTCAACATTATGACTGATTATTTACTACCTCTGACCACTGCTCTGGCTACTGTTGCTTTTCCTCCTCCCTCTTCTCCATGATCCCTTCTGGCCACTGCTTCCCTTTACCCTTCTTTACCATCTTATTCTCCTCAAAACACTTTGCCTGAACTCCCCTGCTACCCTACTGATTCTGAAAGCCAAAAGAAATCCCTTCCAAAGATGCCTTTTAAAATTCATTCAGGGGTAACAGCTATAAATGGAGAGAATTTAAAAAAAAAAAAAGAAAAAACTAATGGGATGTCCTTTGTCTCCTAGTCCTGCATGGAGCTACATATTATTGCTAAAGAATTCCCAAATGTGTGGAAGGATCCTTATAAATTCACTAAAGAATTCTAGATCACTTTCAATGCATACAAGCCTGGGTTGCCTGAGTCATATCAATTGGTTCACATGATAATGAGTCCAGGAGATGGTCAGAAATGGCAAGAGCATGCCTAACAGAAGCATGCACAAGCTAGTCTTGCTTCAGGTTGCAGTAAGAAATCTGAACAAATGCTTAGAAAAGCTCAAGGGCAAGCAAAAAAGCTATATGATGACCTTAAGGAAGCTTTCCTTTCAGAAACAGACTGGACAATAATTTATTCTTTTATACAAGATAAAGGTGAAACTGTTTATGATTATCAAAATAGATTATATCAAAAATTTAGTAAGCATTCTGGACTGAATCCTGAAAACCCAGGCTCTTCAGGAGCTTTTAATGCAGCATTTGTTTCTCCGCTTCATCCAGAACTCTCAGTCCCAGTTAAGCAGAAAAAACTAATTTAGAAAACTACTCCTAGGGCTGAACTTGTGGTTTTAGCCCAGGAGTTAGCTCAGACCTAAGAGAAAAAAAAACCACTATCATCAAGAGAGCAGTGGCTACCCAGGAAGAGCAAACTAAACATATAGCTTTGCAATCACAATAGCTCCAAGTCTAAGTTACAAAGTGATGTTTGTCCAGTGGTAAGGTCACTGAACTGTGAATCAGGCCCTGCATTTGTTGTGTGCTTTTACTGTAAAAGGCCTGAACATTTTAAGAAGGATTGCCTTAAGTTGAAAAATAATCAAGCTAGAGTTTAATCTTCAGGTCCTAGATTTGAAACTGAATGAAAAGCTCCAAGGAACACATAGGAGTTTTTCCAGTAGTGGCACTAAACTCCCAAGGAAAACTACTATTCACCTTAATGGAGAGGATTTTAAATTTATAATTGACACTGGCACCATTCTTTCAGCTCTTAACCTCACATTTTTATGAAATCCTTTACCCCAAAGTTCAAAAACCTCTAAAGTTGTGGCGGTAACAAATCAAGAACAAATTTTAACCCATACTCAACCTATCTCTATTTCCTTTGGTCCCAAAATGGATGTTCACCTTTTCTTGCTTAATGAATATTCCCCAATAAATTTAATTGGAAGGGAACTTTTATCAAAAAGGAATTGCAATATACTCTTTAATGAACATGGAAATGTTTTTAGAATTCCTTGAGAAACACACAGAGGAAGAAGAGAGCTAGAGGAAGATTGTTGTTTCCTCCATGCTATAAGCTTAATTAACTCAAAAGAAACCTCCCTTATTCCTCTTTCCTTTGTTAATGAACTATCTGCAGTTCCTGAGACTCTCTGCACTATGATCTCTATGGAAGTTGGCCTCTTTTTGTTGGCAAATCCTACTAAATTTCAAATTGACACCTCTAAGCCTCTACAAAAAGTATCCCATATCCCTTGAAAAAAGGAAGCTAAGGAAGGTTTAGTGCCCATTATTCAAGACTTTTTAGACAATAATACCCTCTACCAGACCCTGAAATACTCCCATCTTTCCTATAAGAAAACCTTGGAACCAAGGATGGAAATTTGTATAGGACCTAAGGGCCATAAATAAAATAGCAATTCTCGATTTCCATTTGTCCCAAATCCTCATTTACTTTTGTTCAATGTACCACCAGAAGCTAACCACTTTACAGTGGTTGATCTTTGTAGTGGTTTTTCCAGTATTCCTGTACGCTCAGATAGCCAATATTTATTTGCATTCATGTGGGAAGATAAACAAGACACATGGATTGTCATGCTCCATAGGTTCACAGAACCTCCTACACATTTTTCTCAAATTTCACAGCTTATCTGCAATCCTTACAATTCACTCACAAGTCCACCTTATTACAGTATGTCAATGACCTATTGGTACCCTCATATTCTCAAAAACTTGGCTCATTGATCATGTCCTGCTGTTACAACATTTATCCACTGCAGGGCATAAGACCTCCAAGGAAAAGTTACAATTAGCTCAACTTTCTGTAAAATATCTGGGACATATAATCTCAGCAAAAGGAATCACTATCAACCCCAAAAGAAAGGAAACTATTGCATCTTATCCTATTCCCATTTAAAAAGAGAGAGAGAGAGAGAGAGAATTCTTAGGACCTTGTGGCTTACAATTTGGATACCTAATTTTTCTTTAATGGCTCAATCCCTTTATAAATACCTGAAGGATTCAGAGGCTGATCCTTTACAGCTTGCTGAATGAAGATAGCCCAAATGCTAGAACTCAGTTTAAAAAAAAGGCATTAATTAACATATCTGCTTTGGAGTTTCCTAATTATAATCTATATTTTTCATTTCTTCTCATGAGAATTCTGAGAATGCCTTAGGAGTTATCACACAAAAACAAAGAGGATAGAAAAGACCTATAGGTTATTATAGTGTTCAGTTGGACCCAGGTGCCCAGGGATACCCCCCACATATTAGAGCAGTGTTTCAACACCAAAACAAGTCTAGAACACCATAAACATAGTTTTAGGGAATGTCCTTGATGTCTATGTCCCCACGTGGTGTTAGCCATCTTAAACTCAAGCTTAATGCAGCATGTTTCAGCTAGCAGGTTGACCTCTTATGAAGTTCTTCTCTTAGTAGGCTCTAACATCAGATTGCACACAATAATATCTTTAAACGCAGCCACATTGTTACCTCCATTCAATGATGATAGTTTCTCATGACACAATGGTTTAGACCCAAATGAAGAGCTTTGGTCATCGCAATAGAAATTACAAGAAATCTCCCTTTCCAGCCCTGATTAAGTTCTGTTTGTAGATGGATCTTATCTTAAACTTGATTCTACCAGCTTTCATTGCCAGGGAGGATATGCTATCACTACTTCTACAGAAGTACTGGAAAGAAGCCCTCTCTGGGAAATTACTTAAGCACAACAAGCTGAATGGATTGTGCTCACAAGGGCCTGTAAACTGGCTTCTAGACAGTCAGTAAATATTTACACCAACTCAAGGTATATTTTTGGGTAGACCATGATTTGGGGGTGCTATGTAAACAGAGAAAACCAAACCAACTGCTGTTGAGTCAGATCCAACTCATAGCAACCCTTCCTTGGGTTTCTAAGGCAGTATCACTACAGAAGTAGATTGTCCCATCTTCCTTCTGAGGAGTGGCTGGTGGGTGTGAACCACCAGCCTTCTGGTTAGCAGTCAAATGCCTTAGGCACTAAGCCACCAGAGCTCCTAGCGTTCTTCAGATCCTCTAGAACTCACACAAAAAAATGGTCCTCTGGTGGCCTCCTAGAAGCTCTTTGGCTTCCCTCTGAGATTGCTGTCATAAAACTCTATGCTCCTCAGCATAATGGTTGAGAAAGCTTTCTTTCAAATTTCAAATTCTCAAAGGAATTTAAAGGAAACAGTTTGGCTGACTCAGCTGCAAAAAAAGGCTATCAAGTGCTCACCACCCTTTGCACCAAAGTTCATTTGGATGAAAAGTTGGTAAATGATAAAATTCCTACACATGATGATGTTATAAGTGATGGACTAGACCTCCAAATAGCTTTTAAGTTTTTATACACTGATTAAAATCTGGCTCCTGAATCTGAAATTCAAATTTGGAAAGACTTGGCTTGTAAGCAAGATGCAATCACTAATTTATGGTTTAGACCATAGGGCAAGATAGTTTTGCCATGGGCATTACATGCTTTCATTACTAATAATGTTCATCAGGATACCTACTTAAATTTGGAAGATTAATCACTCATATGGAAAAGTACTAGTGGGGTAATTTTACTGATGCAGCTCAACATGTCATAGGCTCTTGTTTCACATTTTACCCTCTTTGTCTTCATTAATTTTAATGATACCAACTACACAGAAGGCCCACTCACTAATTGTGAAATTTGTAAATATTTTAACCCTAGATGCTACTGTAGAATGAAAAATTTCATTGACGAACAAATGAGAGATGGTAATTTTAGGCATAATTTAGCAGCTCAGCAAATTCAAGCTCCTAAAGAAGAACAAGAGGCTTGGAGAAAGGAAGGCTGCTGAACAAATAAAAAGAATGATGCATTGGAGGGACCCATTGGCAATCCTATTATTGCTCAAGCCCTGCACTCCTTAAATCACCTGGAAGAGATAAGCTAATTGACCTAATGAAAAAATATAACTGGGAACATTTTTGGAATGCAGCCAACTGTGTAGTT